ATGCCGTGGATGTAGCGTACCTGGATTTCAGGAAGGCCTTCGACAAGGTCCCCCATGACCTTCTGGCAAGGAAACTAGTCCAATGTGGGCTAGGCAAAACTACGGTGAGGTGGATCTGGAATTAGTTAAATGGACGAACCCAGAGGGTGATTCTCACCAAGGCTTCCTCTTCATCTTGGAAAGAAGTGACAAGTGGAGTGCCGCAGGGTTCCATCCTGGGCCCGGTCCTGTTCAACATCTTTATTAATGACTTAGATGAAGGGCTAGAAGGCATGATCATCAAGTTTGCAGACGACACCAAATTGGGAGGGATAGCCAATAGTCCAGAGGACAGGAGCAGAATTCAAAACGATCTGGACAGATTAGAGAGATGGGCCAAAACTAACAAAATGAAGTTCAACAGTGACAAATGCAAGATACTCCACTTTGGCAGAAAAAATGAAATGCAAAGATACAGAATGGGGGACGCCTGGCTCGAGAGCAGTACGTGTGAAAAAGATCTTGGAGTCCTCGTGGACAACAAGTTAAACATGAGCCAACAATGTGATGTGGCGGCAAAAAAAGCCAATGGGATTTTGGCCTGCATCAATAGGAGCATAGGGTCTAGATTTAAGGAAGTAATGCTACCCCTCTATTCTGCTTTGGTTAGACCACATCTGGAATATTGTGTCCAATTCTGGGCACCACAATTCAAGGAGAGATATTGACAAGCTGGAATGTGTCCAGAGGAGGGCGACTAAATGATCAAGGGTCTGGAGAACAAGCCCTATGAGGAGCGGCTTAAGGAGCTGGGCATGTTTAGCCTGAAGAAGAGAAGGCTGAAAGGAGATATGATAGCCATGTATAAATATGTGAGGGAAGCCACAGGGAGGAGGGAGCAAGCTTGTTTTCTGCTTCCTTGGAGACTAGGACGCGAACAATGGCTTCAAACTACAAGAGAGGAGATTCCATCTGAACATTAGGAAGAACTTCCAGACTGTGAGAGCCGTTCAGCAGTGGAACTCTCTGCCCGGAGTATGGTGGAGGCTCCTTCTTTGGAAGCTTTTAAGCAGAGGCTGGATGGCCATTTGTCAGGGTGCTTTGAATGCAATTTTCCTGCTTCTTGGCAGGGGGTTGGATGGATGGCCCAGGAGGTCTCTTCCAACTCTTTGATTCTATGATTCCCTTTGTTTTATCGGATTCAGTGCTTTTCAACATTTAGCAATTTTCCAGACTGTGCCAGATCTGGATAATCAGTGTCTACCAAGAACCCCTGGAGTTGCGAAGCCACCACACATTCCATGACTTTGCCCAAGTAGGGAAGATTGGAAACTGGCCAAAAGTTGTCAAATTGAGTGGGGTCCAGTGATGGTTTTTTCAACAGCAGTTTTCTAATAGCCTGTTTTAAGCTGGCTGGAATCTTGCCCTCCTGTAAGGAGGCATTAACCACCACCTTAACCCACTCTGCCAAACCCCCTCTGGCTTCTTTTATCAGCCAGGATGGGCAGGGGTCTAGGATGCATGTGGTAGGCCTCGCTTCTCCAAGGATCTTGTCCACATCCTCAAGCTGAACCAATTGAAATGAATCCAACAAAACCGGACAAGCAGATGCTCTTGTTACATCCTCAGAGACTGCAGTTAAAGTGGCGTCAAAACCAGACCGGATCAGCGCAATTTTATTCGCGAAGAATTGAGCAAATGCTTCACAGCGAGCTCCAGAGCTGTCAGGGATCTCGCTTTTCGGCGGATTTAACTGACCCCTGACAACTCGAAAGAGCTCAGCTGGACGGTTCTTCGCGGATGCAATATTGACTGCAAAAGGTGTTTTTTGTGCTGCCACTATTGCCACATCATAGGACCTTAGAAAGGCATTCAGATGTGTTTGGGCCAATTTAGTCGGCTTCCGACGCCACACGGGCTCTAGCCACCTCTTCTTTTGCTTCATTGCTGCCAGCTCCTCAGTGAACCAAGGGGCATGGTTAGCTCGGTTACTCGAGAGGGGCGTTCCGGAGCGATTGTGTCGATTGCCCTAGTCATCCCGGAATTCCAATGAGAGACCAAGGCCTCGACAGAATCACCTGCCAAGGAGGTGGGAAGTTCCCCAAGAGCCGTCAGGAAACCATTTGGATCCATAAGTCTCCTGGGGCAGACCATTGGGAGGTACAGTGAGTCTAAACCTAATCAGGTAGTGATTGGTCCATGGCAATGGAGCGATGGTCAGCTCCTCCGCTCCGACACTGTCACCCCATCCTTGAGAAAAGACCAAATCCAGTGTGTGCCCGGCAGGGTGGGTGGGACCAGATACTAATTGGGACAGGCCCATGGTTGCCATGGCGGCCATAAAGTCCTGAGCTGCACCTGAAAGGGAGGTCTCGGTATGGACATTGAAATCCCCCAGGACTAAGAGCCGCTGGGAGCTCAACGCCATGTCCGAGACCACTCCTGCTAGCTCAGGTAGGGAGACTGTCATGCAGCGGGGTGATCGGTACACTAACAGAATCCCTATCCTGTCCCGGTCACCTAACCTGAAGCCGGCACACTCGAATGATGATGATTGTGGGATGGGGCACCTGATCAGGGGAATACAAACCTTATAGACCACTGCCACTCCTCCTCCCCGCCCTCCGGGTCTTGGCTGGCGCTGCACAGAATAACCTGGCGGGCATAGTTGGGAGAGATTGACCCCTCCCCCCTCGTCCAGCCAGGTCTCCGTTATACACGCCAGGTCGGCTTGTTCTTCCTGGATTAGATCTCTAATAATAACTTCCCAAGGAATGGGTGTAGCCGGCATACAAGTTTTAATTGTTCAAAAGCTCTCCCAGCCACCGCTGAGACCTGGAGTTCCAGGCTCAGCAGTGAGGCCATGATCACTCCCAGACTGCGAACCTGTGTCTTCAGGGGGAGTGTAACCCCGTCTAACACAGGCTGTAACCCTATGGCCTGTTCAGCCTTTCGACTGACCAGGAGTACCTCTGTCTTGTCTGGATTAAGGTTCAATCTGTTTGCTCTCATTCAGGTGGGAAGGAGTGATAGAGCTGAACATCATCTGCATTCAGATGACATCTGACCCCAAAACTCCAGATGATCTCTCCCAGCGGCTTTATGTAAATGTTAAACAACATGGGGGACAGAATAGAGCCCTGCGGGACCCCACAAGTCAATTGTTGTGAGGACAAGCAGGTGTCCCCCAACAACGCCTTCTGAGAACAGCCCTCACGGAAGGACTGGAGCCACTGCAAAGCAGTACCGCCATGTCCCATATCCCTAAGGCGTCCCAGAGGGATACCGTGGTTGATGGCTTATCAATGTGTTCCTGCAGGGAGTCAGGCTAGATTGACTTTATATCATTTCTAACTCTGTGAGTCATTGATTCTATAAAACAAGCAGCCAAACAAAGCAGGCTGAGTTCTTACCAAAACCATGGTTTGATGATTTGAAAACTAAAAATGTTGTCAAATTAGGGTGAAAACATGAATTATCTCAATTCCAAGATTATGACAGTTATGTTTTCATCTTTTGGTTTAAATAATTACTTCTGGTTATGCTTAGATTGTAGTAGCACAACATAAACAAATATTGTTGTTGGGTTTTTTTTTAAAAAAATGGTATTAAAAAATAATTACATCAAAAAGATTGCATTTGAATCCCTGTTTCCAAGCAAAGAGTATCACCATGTTGATGCTGCTTGATTTCTAATCAAAACAAACCCTGCACAGAGTTATGAAGACATTCAGCATTTAATCACTTGATGTTAATAATCAGTGAAAGGAAAGAGGAGGAGTGCTAAGAGAAAATGTCTTGACAGAAAGAAAGAAATCCCTTATGTCATAGAGAGGAAAGTCTTTTTAAATATAATGTAGCCCTTTCAATTTTCAATAAAACAATTTGTACAGTAATAAAAGACTGTGTAATTAGGGTTATTATATTTATCCTCTACAGTTCTGTTACATTTGTTATACTGTAACAAACTATGTCCTGCTTTCTTGTATCTAAATAAACTAGAGAATAGATAGATAGATAGATATAGACAGACAGATAGACAGATAGATAGATAGATGGACAGATGATAGAAAGATATTGTGTCTGAAGCAACACTTGATTGCTACAAAATAACTAACAGGGGACTAGAACAATAACAACAATTGAATCAGAAGCATACAAAAATTCATAGATAGATAGATAGATAGATAGAGTCAAACTAGTCAAAGTTTTTTCTAGAGAAAATAGAAAATAGAACCTGGATCATAAAATCATAGAATCAAAGAGTTGGAAGAGACCTCAAGGGCCATCCAGTCCAACCCCCTGCCAAGAAGCAGGAATATTGCATTCAGATCACCCCTTACAGATGGCCATCCAGCCTCTGTTTAAAAGCTTCCAAAGAAGGAGCCTCCACCACACTCTGGGACAGAGAGTTCCACTACTGAACGGCTCTCACAGTCAGGAAGTTCTTCCTCGTGTTCAGATGGAATCTCCTTTCTGGCACTTAAAAAGAGTATAGGATTCCATAGCAACGAGCCATGGAAATTAAAGTGGTGTCAAAGTGTGTCACAAAGCGCTTTTACTTAGCAAAATACTTGGGCCTCAATCTGAAGACCAATTCATCACAAAAGCCTGTGATAAGTTAAGATAAAAGTCATCATAACAAGTTGTGAAATATCCATGGCACTGTCAGAAAATGCTATGGAGATGTAGCAGAACTAGTTGTTATGATAATTTTGCTTTTCTCATAAACATCCTCACTTCATTTTTATCTATTCAGATTCCAACTGCTGGAGGGCATTCTAAAGCTCACTTGTTGCCTGAGGCAAGAACAGCATCCAATCCTAGGAAGAGAAACACAAATGTGGTGTTTGACTACCAAACACTACACTTCTCCATGAAGAAGTAGATGGAACAGGAGATGCTGGAGGATGCAGTGATGTCAACCCACCGCCATCCCAGATTAAGGCATTGGCAACAGCAAGGCAAAACTCTGCACATGTGCAACTGCAAGCTATCATCTGTGGATTGAGCACAAGCTCTGTGGTTACAGAGTAGAGACACTAGGAGGGTAATCTCTACCACAACCTGAGGTATTTTTCATGGTGGATTTTACAGTGAAGAAGACTCAGGTTGAAGAAAACATGCATACACACAAACTTTCCCCCTCTTTCCTGTCTGCACTTTTCCTCTCTCACTTCTGTCCATTAATTCAGAGCCTCTGTTTCTCTCTGGGCCCTTCTGGACAGAGCCAAAAGGCGGACCTGTCTCACTTTTACCTGAGGTAAACATGAATTAATGAGGTTTCCCTCCTCCCCTCTCACCTGATACATTATTTTCAAGTGCAAAGAGTACAGGGGGGCTTGCGCTTCTGGCAGGCCCCTTGGGTAAATTTGGGTGGGGTGATGTGGGGTTGAGGCATGCTGGATGTCATCCTGGATCAACCAAAGGGAAAGCACTGGGTTGTGGGAGTGTGTAGGGACAGAAGTGCTTCCTCCTGGATTTCTGCCCTGTGTAGAAGAGCACTCTGTCCCTCTTTGTTCAAAGACTATAATCTTTTTCTCAACCTTCTTCAGATTGCTAGTATCTCACCAAACTGCAAATCCTAGAATTCCTTAGCATTGAGTCATGGTGGTTAAAGTGGTGCCAAACTGCATTGATGGCACAGTGTAGGTGCACTCATAGTGATGACCCAGACTTGGATGCTTTAAAAAAATAAAGCTATGGTTACTTGCCATGGTAGCTCTACATTACCAGTATCATAGGAAGTATGTCTATGCTTATCTGTTGCAGAAGAACCTGATCATATGAGAGGAATCACATCCTATTTGAGTTGGGTTTTTATTAGGTGATTGTTTTTAAGGTCATATCTCACCTTTTGGGCAGAAAGAAATGTATAAACATTTCAGTAGAAGAAAATAAAATAACACTTGGCATCACTTTCAGACCTAGAACTTTGCCACATTGGAGAAAACAATTCTGCAGGATCAGCCATAGGAAATGATAATGTGCCCTTGAATATGAAACCTTGCTATGAGGAGGTACCACTGACTTTGTTCTTATCTCTCCTTGCAGAATTCTGCCAGAGCGTCAAAAGGAGATGGCCCAAGTTCAATCACAGACAGAAAAAGCAAGTGGGCAAAATAAGTAACGGAGCAGCAGATGGGAGGTTTATAGGCTACTACCTCATGTAGCAAAATCAAGCTGCTAACTGAAACTTTGCCATTTTGCAATCACAGGTGGGACAGAGTTAAAAACAGCATATAATTCCTTTCAGCCTTTTGCTTTGAGATGTCCAACATGTCATCCATACCTGTTTTGTCATTGATCTAGTTAAGAAGATGATAAACACAGATTTTTTTATGGCATACTTTTGTAGTTTATCCCCCCGCCCACTAAGTAATGCTTAAATAACCACAAAAACAATTCGCTTACCAGCAAAAGTGCATATAAAATGTATTTTTGAACAGCCATTTGAATTCTGAACAGCTGCTTTGTTTGACCAAGTTTCTTCTTTTTCCGATTTGTTTATCACAAATATTCATGAGAACAGATTTTGTTTTGTCATGTTTTGTTTATTTGTAGAGTGCCAGTTCTATGTTGGGAAAATTTTCCCCTGGTGTGCAAAGACATGCTGTGATGCTCTTCCTGTGGGTCTGTATGTCAGTAAAAGAGCAAAATATCTCATCCAGGTATCTATTTAAGGTCCAGACTCCAAAAGGTCATAGCTACAAATAGAAAGGGTCAGATATAATTTCTTCTCTATAGGTACTTTCATTGTTGTCCAGTAATAGTTCAGAAGTTTATACTAACAGCATTGCTTTACACTATCTTTGTTTTCCAACAGCTTATTTTTTATTCCATGAATAACCCACAAAACAGAGAAAGATAGAATAGATACACAGCACACTGCCTTTGGATAGATAGTACTGGATACCACCTATCTGGAAACAATGAAAGTTGCATAATGGAAATAGAAATTCTGCCATGCTTAGAAAGGGTGGGAATAAGCTGATGAAAAGTTAAATAATAATAATAATAATAATAATAATAATAATAATAATAATAATAATTTTATTTGTATACCTTGCCTCCATCTTCCCAAAGGGACTCAGGGAGGCTTACATGGGGACAAGCCCAAACAGCATAATAAAATAAAATAGCACATTAAAATATATAATGGCAACAAAAAAATTAAAACAACAGTATTATAACACAATATAAAAACAAACATCAACCAACAACCAATGAGTTCTATGATAACAATCAGCTTCTGGGTATCAGTGGGAGGACTGGTGCAAGGACAATTGTGAGGATAGGGCTGCTGGAAATAGTGCAAAGATCACATGACAACAGTGAAAATAGAGGGCAGTATGAGAACAGAGCATTATAAATTTAAACACAGAACAATAATAAAGTGAAATAAGTAATTGGCACATAAGTAGATAATTAGAGTTGCAACCAAAATCACACTAGACATAAAGCTAAAATACATTTTGGATGCATTATCCTTAAAAGAAATCTGAGGAAAAGGCCAGAGATTTTTTTTTTTTACCAAAAATACTTTGGGGGCACTACAAACCCACAACAATCAATTTCACAGGTCTTCTTTAATATATTGTCTCAGTTGTTCTTGCAGTTCATGTTTTAAAAGAAGCACAAATGTAATGGGAATACTCAGATCTTTTTTCACTTGTATGAACATCAGCCATATGTCACCATTATCGTTACTACTGTTACTCAGGCCTTAGATTTCATCTGTTTCCAGTTCGGCAGTGCTAATGTCATTAGTCTCTGTGTCAGAGATAATTTCATATTCTGTTAAGAAATGGAATTTGAAATGAACATAAGCAGCAGAGCTTTCAGAAACCAAGTTTTTGTCTCACTTGAAAAGGTCAAGTAGTTGTAAATCATTGTCATAATTGAAGCAGCACAAATGCCCAGCAGTGTCATTGGTCCAGAAACTCAGTGCATTTAATGGCTCAATAATGAGGTCTAAGAGTCCTGGAGCCACAAAATAAGGCCAAAAGCTGGAACCACTTATCAAAACCAAAGAATATAAAATGACCCTTAATTAGCAGTGGGATCCATGATTCTAACATGCCATAAAGAGAATAAGTTCTTAGTTATTCAAAGGAAATGGTGTAATGTTTCAAAAAGTGAATAGTTACAGGTTGATTTGTCATAGCCATGGAACTTTTCAGCAAACATCATTTAGGTGTAGTACTGGAATCATTTTAGAGAGTGATGCATATGTCCTAACTGCAGAAAGAATGAACAGAAAAAGATGTGGGGCTTTGTGAATACATTTCAAATATTTCGGGAGCCACAAATAGTTTCCCTGGTAGGTATTCATGAGAAAGGGTTTTCTACATGTATAAATGTATGTGGTGAAAGCTGACACACTTTTGGAAGGGTACTGTCCAATCAATGTCTTTTCCCAAGTAAAGGAGTTGTTTGTGCATCTTAACGTGGAGAGGCCTCCTTCTCATGAACATAAAAAAGGCAATAATTAGAAAAGGGCTAAAAATCTGTAAAGTAATGAGAATCTTACTTTCAAATTTGAAGATTAGCCACAACACTACTACTATAATCACCATACCATTCTGAACATACTTGATTTTGTCTGATTTCAGGAGTTAAGATAGTTCAGCCCAGAAAGTACTTCAATGGGAAACCATCACAGAGTATAGAGGCTCTCTACCTTGGCCTAGGAAGAAATTCTACCGGAAACTGGAGACATGTTGTCATCTGGCTACACTATAAACTTCATCCCATTGAACATGTCAAATATTTGGATGAGTAGGTTTACCAGGCATACTCCTTTTTGAAATTAAATGGATGATTTTCCTATCTCCATCGTACACTAGCAAACTATCTATCTAATTCAGGAGTTCTCAGTAGGTTTGTGTACAGATTCATTCTGGACATTTGCCTTCAGCTTGTTTGGTTGGTTTGATTGGTTTGCAAGTCTGTAACAGCATGGGCTCCACCACCATTTTTTACTGGCTGCAACAGAACTGTAGCTGTCAAAAACCAGCTGCTTTCATTTACACATGGAGTGCAGGGAAGGAGGCGGGGGGGGGGGGTACCACTCTAGTGTCTCCAAATCAAGAGAGAAGAGAGAAGAGAGGACTTTTTAAAGGAAGCCCAGGGTAGCATACCTCCAGATCAATCCCTCTTCCTTCCCTGGGAAATGGGAAGTCTCCTTAAAAGGCCTTTAAAAACTGCTTGCTGCAGGAAGAGAGTGCATGTGTCTGCAGATCCTGTCTCCTCTAGAGAAGAAATAGATTTAATGAAACATTAAACCCGAAGCAGAAAGGAGATTGAAGCTGAGCTGGGGGGGGGGGAGGGGAGGCACCACTCCAGAGTCGAAATCAAGAGAGAAAAGAGGGCTTTTTAAGGAACCTCCAGGTCAGTCCCTCTTCCTTCTCTGTGAAATGGAAAACCTCCTTTTCCAATGCCTTGGAAAACTGTTTGCTTCATGGAGAGAGGGTGTGCACCTGCAGCTCCTGTCTCCTCTAGAGCAGAAACCGCTTTAATGAAGCATTAAACCCAGTCTCCTTTATAGGTAGAAGTGAAAGGATCACAGAAAGAGTGGTATCTTAACATTGATGCTTCTAATCCAGGCATTAATGAAGGATATAAGGACAAACACAGTATCTAAAATGACAGGAAGGGGAGCCTGTGGGAAGTTGATGTACGATGTTTTAGATTGTATTGTTAGCATTTAATCCTTGTGTTAGCCGGTTTGAGTCCCTCTATGGAGGTAGAGAAGATTGGGATACTAAAGTTTTAAACAAATAAATAAATAAGTCCCCACCCTCCATTGCTACCAATGGGCCAGATAGAAAATGAATCTTTCAGCTTCCTGGATCAAAAATGGATTTCTGTCTTCCTAAATTCAGGAGGCTCCCAAAAAACAGATTGGAATCCCCATAAAAATCCAGGACACCAAAATGGATTGTGGTTTTCCCAGATTGCAGAAGCCTAGTTATCAGTTGACTTGCCATCAAATTGTACATAATTGTTCCTGCCCACTATCCCTCCCCTGTTTTCTTTGTGCTTCCTATGTTGCCTTATTCTTATTTGCAGAATTTACTCTTCATTTTCACATACATGTTATTGAGTTTAAATGATAGGAAAAGATATTTCACCCAAATATTAGGAAAAAAACTTCCTGATGAGCTGTTTGACATTGCAGTACGCTGTCTCCGTGTGTGTGGTGGACTCCCCTTCTCTGGAGGTTTTCAAATAAAAGCTGTCACAAGTGATTATGTATTTCTTTTGTGGGAGGGTGTTGGGCTGGATGGTTCTTGTGGTCTCTTTCAACTCTGTGGTTCTATGTTTCATGCTAAAAGTCAAATACTTTGATACAGAATTTTGATGATGATAGGCTGACCCTCAGACGAATGTCACTTTGAGAAATTCCCTACTTGGCCCCAGTGATTGCATTCTCTCTCCTTCTTGTCATGTATCAAACATTAAACACACAGATGGAGTTTCCCATCCCATCTGTCTGGAACCAGAAGGAGATTGCTCCAGTTCACACCTCTTCTCCCACTCTGTTTAGCTGTTGCTAGGTGTTGATCACATACTTAACAGAGGCTTCCTGCCTACATGATGACAGATCATGCATCAAGTGTACCATTCCAAATGCTTCCTTAAGAATAGCTATATTTATCTCTGCCCTTTGTGCTTTAACTTTATACCCTTCATAGTCCTCTGCATCTAAAGTACAACATCCATGAGTTCTTTAGCCTTTGTTTTGATTTGCTTACAAGCATCAAATAGTAAAAGGAAACCCTTTCAGTCTAAATGTATGAGTACTTAAGTTGATGTATGTATGTGTGTGAAAACTTTCAGCAACTTAAATGCCATTTTTTGAATAAACAGATGTTGAAAAAGCACACCTTACTACATTGGACAAACATTACAACAATGTTATATGTGCAAGTCAAAAAGCCATCTTAAAAATAAAGAAAAGATAGACATTTTGGCTTTTGTCATGTATGATGAGGACTGAGCTAGGAATGAGGAATTGTGTTTGGTCCTAATTTTTAATTAATTGACACAATTTGCACTTTCACAGTCTAATATGGAGATCACAACATAGTTTGGGCAAATTTTGTTGTTTTGAAATAAACATTCAATGAAAAAATGTGAATGTTAGGGAAACTGCAAATATTATGTATAATGTTTGATAAGAGAAACTGCATATGAAAAATCATATACAGACTAATGCAGAAATTGAATGGAATGGGCATATGTCAAGTATTAGAAGTAGAGTGGTTTGTCCAATCTTGGCTAAATAGCTAAGATCCACATGATTGCTTATAACTATACTAACAATACTAGATAGCCACCATGTTGTAGTGATTTGAAAATTGGGTGATGACTCTCTGGAGACTAGGGATTGCCATGGAAACACACGGAGACCCCATCTACACTGAACTGGAATTTGGACTGAATCATGCTTGACAGGAGTCTTCTCAGGGACTTCGTCAGCCACTACAGATGCAGAAAAGAGTCGCCACCACCTGATGGCACTGAAGACAGTTTAGCACAGCTGGGAGGCCACCCTACAGCTCCATCCCATCCCCTGCTAGAACACACCGCCAACCTTTTGCACATTGTGAGTGATGGGGAAAAGGTAGATGCCATGCTGTGGCCCACTATGACATGGGGGGCAAGGGATAGCAGTCTTATGTCCCCAGACCACCTTAGCCTGGTGCCTGTTAGGAACTGGCCCAATTCTCCTCTCTGTTTTTAGTTGGTTTGGACTTTTGAACTTTTCTTGGTCGCTTCTGACTTTGGATAACACAGAGCAAGACCACATTAAGGTGCAACAATTGTATCATTACTGATGCTTGTACTCTACTCCTCAGTTCATGATTGATGTGTCTATTTTTTTAAAAAAATGTAGCTATCATAGTAATATGATACCAAAATAGTACATTGGTAGTTATGGTGTAATAGCAAATGAAAAAATGAGAAATTAGAAGAGGAGGTTAACAGGAATTTAACTTTGTAACTTTGATCGTATTTATTCTGTTGTTACGTAGTTTATCTTGAAGAATACTGCTGTTTGATATTTGATTTTTCCATGCATAGGCATTTGTTGTTAATTTATCTCTGATTGACAGAATATTAATAATAGTTAATATTCATTTGATCTGATCCTTTATTGAAAA